AAAAATCGAGCATAACTTTAAAGAGAGAGAAAAAAATCGCGCATTAGAAAATTAGAAAAATTTCTTGAAATAATATGCGTGGAGTTTGAGTATTGGTAGTTTGAACTGAACTAGCTATTAATAGTGTTCTTCGCTTTTCTTAGTTACTGCACACAGTGAAAAGAAAGGAAAAAAAGAAGGTCAGTAACAAAATCGATTGTGGCCCGTTCAGCCATTTAGCTGAATTTAGCTGGATAATATATCAATGCAATAATTATTTTACTATGACCGATATAGACAAAAACTCCACTAAAAAGAAGGGTGGCGGAAAAGAAGTGACCAGAACGGACAAAGGTGAAGGGAACGAGAAATTAAAAGAAGCCGGGTTCGACGAGAAGGAAGGTGATGAATCAAAGGATGAGGATTTTGAAGACGATGATTGCGACGAAGGACTGGTTGAAGACGATAAGGTTGAAGTTGGCGAAGGTGGTAAAAAAGATGGTAACGAAGATGAGGAGTTTGAAGACGTAGGATGTGATGACGAAGAAGACGTTGAGGGTGAAGAGTTTGAAGACGACGAAGGTGGTAGAGAAGGTGGAAACGAAAACGAGGAGTTTGAAGATGTAGGATATGATGACGAAAATRATGTGGGTGAAGAGATTGAAGACAACGAATGTGATGGCGAAGAAGAAGTTGAGGGTGAGAGTGAGGAGTTTGACGAGGAAGGTAGTAACGATGGTGATACTGATAATGACGAGGAGTTTGAAGATGATGAATGCGGTAAAGAAGATGGCAATAAGAACGAGGATGTGGAAGACGACGTAGTCGATGACGAAGAAGAAGTCCAGGGTAAGGAGTATGACGAGGAAGAAGGTAGAGACGGAAAAGGTGACGATGAGCGTGCAGACGGTAATTGTGCAGAAGAAGAAACCGAAGTTGCAAAAGAAATGCATAGTGAGTAACACTAGATAAATATACAAATGTCTATAAATGTCTTTTCATTAACATTCTCTTATGATAGCCTTTTTCTCATAACTGGAAAAACTGCATTATTTCACACGTAAATCTGATTATATTATTCTAGGATCAACACTGTTTATGCGCGCTTCATGACTATAGGAAAAAGCAGATAGCTGAGAAATGAAATTACATTTTTTTTTTTTTCGTATTCGTAGTTGCCAAATCATCAATAAAGCCTGACCAGGGAAATAAGAGGAGTCAAGGTACTGGAAAATGTTTCGAGCAGCTTTTCCGAATCTAGAAATGCGTTGCATTATGGGGCTGTTCTGTTCTTAGGGACGCTTGTCGGTCAGTTGACATTTCATGCATAAAGAAATGAAAGACATTTGAAATGAAATATATATACATTTATCATTTCCGCTATCAGTGTTCTTTGTCAGAAGGCAAAGGATATGCTATAAAAGCGTTCCTAAAAAGCCCCATTTTGCAACGCGTTCTTCAATTTCCGAAAAGCTAAATTAGCTAGAAAAAAACCCGGCAATTGATATATTAACGATTTTGTAGGAAATATATATATAGATTTTCCAAACTTTCCTATGCTTTGTAGTTTGCACCCTCTTATTTTCCTTCCCTTAGAACGAATTCATTTAACCTTTCAGTAATGAAACAAATGTTGAAATATCTTTTGCGGTTCACTTTCAGGTAGGACTGAGGCAGATAAGCTGGTGGACAGTCTTAGCCAAAGCTTTATTCCCAGAAAAAAGAGAAGATTACGAAGAAAGTAACCGGTGAAGGAATACCTTTATAGGATGCATGATGGACGTATTTAATCTTACAACATATCGGCAAGCCCGCATTTGCCTTCTCAGTGAAAATCGAAATCACCCGATTAGTCAACTTGTATGCTATCAAAAAACCGTTTTGAAATAGGTTTATAAGCTATTTTGGAATGCAAATATGATGATATAGTACTAGATCAAATGATTGTCAGGACTGAAAAAAAGTTAAAATGAAACTAGTTTACATGAAGGATAAAATAGAAATGAATAAAATAAAAATAATGATGGTGATCATGTTGTTGAAAGTGATGATGACGAAAAAAGCAGAAAGCCACAACAAAGTACAGACCGCCATCAATAGCCCAAGTCGGAACTTGTTTTGCGATAAATGTAAATTAAGAATCATCTCTGATGAAGAAAGTGAAATAAAAAGGCTCATTTTGACAAAAAAAATATTGTCAGACAGCATGATTGATGAAAGACAACAGAATTAAATGCTAATACAAAGCATCGGACATTCAATGCTTGAAAATGATGCGCAAAGGCTTCTTCGAATTGAATTCATAATATCTCAAGAATGCGCGTCGAAACGACGTCCACATACAGGATCTTTTTTCTGTGATAGAGGGAGGGTGTCAGTGTTTATGCGGAATGCACTATTCATTTAACGTGATCAACTATATTTTTCCTAAATGGAGGTCAAAGATTCATATACAACAGTATAGTAAAAATTAAATTGGAAAGAGAAAATGCGAAATGCAATCAAAATGATCAACAAAGTACAGGTACAACAACAATAACAACYACATTTATTACGGGTACTACCTCCACTTCACCTACAGCTACTACACCTACAACACCTACTACACGTACTACAGTTGTTACACAACTTCTACACCTATTACAGGTACTACATGTACTACACCTACTACAGGTACTACAGGTACTACAGGTACTACACGTACTACACGTACTACAGGTACTACAGGTACTACAGGTACTACACCTACTACACGTACTACACGTACTACAGGTACTATAGGTACTACAGGTACTACACCTACTACAGGTATTACAGGTACTACAAGTACTACAGGTACTACACGTACTACATGTACTACAGGTACTACAGGTACTACGCGTACTACACCTACTACACGTACTACAGGTACTACGCCTACAACACGTACTACACCTACTACAGGTACTACACCTACTACAGGTACTACACCTACTACAGGTACTACACGTACTACAGATACTACAGGTACTACAGGTACTACACGTACTACACGTACTACACGTACTACAGGTACTACAGCTACTACACGTACTACACGTACTACAGGTACTACACGTACTACAGGTACTACAGGTACTACAGGTACTACAGGTACTACAGGTACTACACGTACTACAGGTACTACACGTACTACACGTACTACACGTACTACACGTACTACAGGTACTACAGGTACTACAGGTACTACACCTACTACACCTACTACAGGTATTACAGGTACTACAGGTACTACACGTACTACAGGTACTACAGGTACTACAGGTACTACACGTACTACAGGTACTACAGGTACTACGCCTACAACACGTACTACACCTACTACAGGTACTACAGGTACTACAGGTACTACACGTACTACAGGTACTACAGCTACTACACGTACTACACGTACTACAGGTACTACACGTACTACACGTACTACACGTACTACAGGTACTACAGGTACTACAGGTACTACAGGTACTACACCTACTACACGTACTACACGTACTACAGGTACTACAGGTACTACACGTACTACAGGTACTACACGTACTACAGGTATTACAGGTACTACACGTACTACAGGTACTACA